TACCTCATGAAACAGACACTGAAACTGCAGACCAGAAGCAGTGCATCACGTTTTAAGGAAAATCTTGCTTCCTAATAAGATGTTGTTGATGTATAAAAAATAGTTGTTGATAGAGATATTACCAACAGAAACAGCAGAGAGTAAACAGCCTAGACTCCAACTACATATTTAAAGGTAAAGATCTTTCTAAAAGATATATTTTGTTTATCAACACCAAGGAGTGAAAGAATAAGGTTTTCACTTTATTGTAATATTTTCTTACTGTACTTTGCCTTAAACATATTTTTTACATCTTATTTGCACACGCATGCTATATACATATAATATATATTTTGCAGCTTATACATGATGAGTATAATCCAGATTATACATATCTGTATAAATCACAGAATAATTACACATAAACATAATTAACAGATAATTAGAAGTCTTTCCACTTTTAATGCATTTTTAATCAAAAGGGAAACAAAATATTGATAATATCCAAAACTTACTAAAAGTATACTGCATGGTAGACATTGCTTTAGATTATTTATATAGAATAATTTAATGCAACGTAAAGACTCAACATTGCTTGCAAGTGGTAGAGGTGCATCAAACACAGGCAGCATGGTTTCAAGGTCCCTGTTCCTAATGATTACATCATACACTCTTTGAATGCAAATCAGCAATGTAAATAATGGACCTGGAGGAAATCATTCTCAGATCCACACTTCAATATTTAACAGCTTTTCAAAATGAAGAGCTTCCAAAGACTTCTATACAAGCCTGGGAGAGAAAAAATGAAGTATCCAGATTTATTATTTGTACTTTTATTGTTGTGTTTAAGCATGTTTGAAATTGTCTTAAAGCTGCTGTTTATGATTACTGATGACACTTTAATGAGGAAATGTTTTCTTTAACGATTTGAAGATGCATGGGGAATGTGCATTCCACTTCAGAGACAAAATGTAAATGATTTAGTGGCCAGTTTGTGCTCACACAAGGCACTGAGGATTGGACTAGCTATAACCCCTTGCTCAGGGCATTGTGCTTTAACTTGGGTACCACTCAGAGAACTGGCCTCTAAAATTTCAGGCTTATTCATTCCGTCAAGACTTGTGATTGGATGAAAATAGATCAAGTGGAACAGACACAGAGATGACATGAGCCAGGGAGAGTGTTCAGAAGTAGAGGAAGAAAACGAAAATAATTGGATGAAACAACTCTAGAGAGGAAGTCTAATGAAGACCCAAATGTCTGGCATGCATCTACTTGGTCAGCATTACTGAATAGCTGCTGTTTCCCAGGCATTCTGGTCAATTTGAAGTGCCTTGCCATGCGAAGTTTTCGATCCAAAGAGGACAGTCCTATTTCTAGAACTAACAGCGTGATGAGCACTAGCAATAAACAGTGTGTTTAGAGGATCATGTAACAGTGATCTTCGTAATTTTGATTTTAGTGGTTACTCATAATTATGTAGATTTTAATTGCCCATAAAATTCCTAATGACACATTTTAAGATTTCTCACTTTGAGAGATTAGATCCATTTTATGTACATATATTACTTTGCATTTATTACTGCAATATCTACGACAAAATAAAGATTTCTACTGTAGCTGACTGAATATATGAAGGAAAGTTTGTACTACTACTGAATTCTTGAAAACAGATTTATAAAATTTTCCTAACATGGCTTTTGCACAAAATGCTTTCTTTTTTTTTAAGTAGGATAACAAAAGATTTCTAAAAGATAATAGAGACTTTAAGATTTTCTTTTAATTGCCCTTGAATTCATCTTTAAAATACAAATTCATTTGCCTAAGGTTAAACAAAAAGAAATTGAAGTTGCTACATAAGGATCTTATGGCAATGTTCAAAGATGCATAATTTACACACTGCAGCGTGTACCTACCTGCACACCTCTACGCAGCATTGAGCTTCAGTGTTTCACACAAAAATAATTCTATCAATAGCACAAATTATATCAATAGCACAGATTTCTGGCTGAAATAAGTGATTACATGAAGGGGCAACTTTGTCTACTGGTGTGGGTCTAGGCATGATGCATCCTGTCTGACTGTTGAAAAATCTACACCAGGACAATCAATACTTCAGTTAGCTCCAGAGAAAGAACCGTTATGAAGCCAGTGATTGCAACTTTCCAATCATGATGAGCACGTTACTACAAATGTGCTCTGAAAAACTACATAACACCTTCATTTTCTACTTACTTTTTTTAAAATCAATAGACGTAAGACATAAGGACATGGACATAGAAGGACCTCCCACACCAATACATTATAATTTTAAAATTATACATTCTTCTACTAGGCCTCAAAAAAACAAGTTTTCAAGATAGCTTATAGGATGTTTATATTTAAGCAGGTCAAAAGATTGGTTGCATCAGTATAATTGCAACTAGGCAAGCTAATGCATTTTGTTATATTACTCTTTAAATTAATATTGTACAGAATAGGATCCTCTGAAGTGGGCGATTAATTTCGCCAAGATGAAGAGGAAGCTTTTGTAGCTATTTTTGTTTTTAAAATAAATAAAAATATATGCATTTTATTTACATTTCATTTTGAAGCGCACATGTTCAAAACTACTGGTATATGGAATAAAGTGTAGTGAGTATAAAATATACATCTAGTAATCGAAAATTCTCATTTTGTGGAATCATGAAGAAGTCACACAGCTACTACTGGAACATTCTTTATATTCCAGAAATAGCTTGAATTTGAAAGGTGAGCAATGTGTGACAGATGTTAAATATTCAATCCCTCCAAAATATAATTCAGATTTTGTGTAATTGCTTTTTAAATGCCTGATGCTATTTGAAATGAACATAGTTGGGGTGATTTACAAAACTGAGTATTTCAACTACTGAATCATGGAATTAAAAATTCTTGGATTTTCTCGTCCATTTCTTAGACTTTTTTCTACCATGTTAACCTCACACAGCTGTATGAAGAGAGAAAATCTTAAGACATAAAACCCTCTAAGTCATTTGCAGTAGCTTCCTAATATATTAGGAAGTATAGCTTCCTATTACACCCACTGCATTACTAACTAGTGACCTCACATTCAACATTCAGACCTCACAAAACTCAGGTTGAACAAACTTAGACATGTACATCGTGGTCACGAAGATGTGACTACAGTTCACTGGCTAGACGGACACTGGACTTGAAATTCTGTAGGAAAAGATCCTGTTTAAAGGATGCAACTCTAACGTCTAATTTTGTGGCTACTTCCCTCTCTCTATACACACAGATGTAAAAACGCATCGCTAACTTTTATGTGATCTACAAAGCTACCTTTCCTCAGGGCTCCTGAAGCTCACTGAGATGTCTTAGGCATTACTGTTAGAGGCAGGTAAATCTGAGTGTTTTGAAAAGTAACTCAGCACTTTAGGAAAAGGCTAGAATTGAGATACTCTTGCTCATAAATCCTGAGACTACAGTTTTACTAAATAAGTTTTGTTTTGCTTAAACCTCCACTAAGGCATCTAAATGTATCCATCACCTTTTTAACTTCTTGTGATATTTATGATGATTGTACTGATGAAATTTCAGTTTGTTATTAAGTGATGTTTCCTGTGAAACACGTGATCATAACAATTTATAGTTTGTAACTAATAAAACTGCTACCACACCCTTGTTAAGAACTGGAACCAACTTTTAAATACAGATGTGCTTTGATTTATAGTGGAGTGATATCCTGATACACTCACCATGGGTTTAAAATATTCTGACCTACTGACAAATCATGAGAGTTCTGCAAGTCATCACCACATGGAGAGCACCAGTTGCTTGCTGGCATGATTACATGAAGTACTGCAAGCTACAATCTGCTCAGAAATGGAAGAGTATTATACAGTATATGACTAGCCCAGGAAGATAATTAAAAATGCAGATTCTAATAAATGTATATCACTTTTGTGCTACTGAAAAAACAAAGCATTATAAACCAGGGGTCATTTGTATTAGTGTCTTCCATTTTATCTCGTCTGAACTGTGTCTTATAAAGTAGGAAACTTGAGCAGGTTGGGTGGTGGTGGCACACGCCTTTTAATTCCAGCACTCAAGAGGCAGAGGCCAGTCTGGTCTACAAAGTGAGTTTCAAGGCAGCACCGAGAAACCCCATCTCAAAAAGTAAGCCAACAAACAAAATCAGCAAAGTAAGAAATGAACACAAAAGGGTTCAAGTCATTTCATCTTAAGACTACTATTCTTTCAGTGCCATTTAAGTCACTAAATTCTACAGTCAGTCTCACAAAGTACAACATGAAGAACATAAAAAGGATACTGCCTGAAAGGCAGTTTGCATTAATCCTAAAAACTTATAAGAACATTGCTGTTGTGGTTTGAATGTGCAATGCTCCCCATCAGCTCATGTATTTGATCATTCTGTTGCTACCTGGAGATGCTTTGGGGAAAGTTATGGGATCTATAGGAAATTGAGATTCCCAGGAGGAAACAAATCACTGGGGGAGGGCTTTGAGGTTTTGTGGACTCACTCTACTTCCTGTTCCTGTTTCCTGTCTGCCCAGACAACCTGATCAACTGGCCTCACGCTTCTGTGCCATGCCTTCAGCATCATAATAGACTCTACCCATCGGAGACTGAGCCAAAATAAGCCCTTTCTCCCTTAAGTTGCTTCTGTCAGATACTTACCACAACAGAAAGCTAAGACATCTACTCACTTGTCCACTCATTCACTGAGCCAACAGACAGATTTCAATTTCAGGGCTAGTCAAGAGAAAACAAGCTTTTCCCTTTACATAACCTGAGTGCAAGAAACACTTGTTTTGTTATACATAATAAAATAAAAACACACTATTGCAACTCTCATAATTGCTTCTTGTGGCATACTTTGCCGTGAGAAAAAAAATAAAGGCCTAAGAGCTATTTGAGATAAAAATCTAACATTAAATATATCTCTTAAAAATTATCAAAATGAGTTTGGCCCCTTACTTTACACATACACACATTACATATACAAAAAAATCATATTCACTGAAAAATAATTTACTTTGTAAATTCATTAAAATTTCCAAGAAATGACGCAAAAATCAAAAGTTGTTTCTCTCAACTCCAGCACACTTTCTGGGATGGGGTAAAAATTTTCACTTCAAATACTAATAAGTAAACTGTATTAAGCATTTTTTCCCTAATGTTTTCAAGATAGAGACTGTAATAGCTTTTGCTATAAGCTTGTGACACATCATTTTGTGAAGTCAAAATTGCACTTGAATTATAAACAACAAACAATTTTGAACTCTTTATAAAGGGGATTTGGAGTTTATACCAAAACAATTCTTATCAACAGAAAGATGTTTCTCAAAACAAAAACATTTACAGGCAGATTTTTTTAAGCATGTCCAAGATATTTATTCCATCTCTAAAAAATGGGTTTATTTCAGTACTGGGGTCTAAATTATGAATAAATTAATGCGAATATTTAACAGAGTAGTTAAAAAACCTTTCCACAGGAAAAAGACAAAACTTAAGTTTTATCTTTACATATTTACCCATTTATTTTAGACTAATGATGTTAGGAAACCTAGGGATAAAGAAAAATGCTTTGAGATTAGATTTTGTAGCACACATCTAGGGTGATAAGACAATTCAATTCAGTGACTATAGGAAACTATAGGATTCGGTTTCGGGAAAGGATGAGGTGTTTGCCGATTGTAAAAAGGATGCAGCATTCTTCTGTAGTACACACACTGACCTGACACTGAAAGCATCCTGTTCTTTGTTAGGATATATACGTGAACTGATGGCCGACTAATTCATTAGCTTAGCAGGCAATGACTTGGACCACCTCATCCAGGATGACGCTATGGCTAGAGTTCACAGGAGAGAGAGAGGGAGAGAGCTCCCCATAAGGCAGAGAACTGAATATTATAAAACACTAGACTGAGTAATCCCTGTCACTCATAAAGTACCTTATTTTAGAGTTTTAAATCTTGGAGTATTGTGCCAGGTGAACCATTTCTTTACATCTGCATATGTCATCAATCTTATGACGTTCTCATCATGAATCAGTCATTATAATCACTATTTTCACACATTATGGAAATTATTAAAAATGCTAAACAGACTGAAATAAATGGTTCCAAGTTTGGCTAAATATTATTAGCATTTTAATGTAACAAACAATAGAGATTTGATCATCAAGATTTTTATTAAGTCACAGTATATTATATCTTTTTGTCCCAATAAGGATTTTTTTTAATCTTTAGAGCAATAATTGATATAAAAACCTATCTTGCCATACTACTTCTTGAGTTTCTTTTGGGCAGCTTTCTTCTTGACCATCTGCAATCGCTTCATAGCGTTGAGCTGTGATTCCTGTGAAGTTGGGCCTTTAAGAGACGCTGAGGCACTGCTGCTGGGTTCTGACGTGGTTTTGCTTGTAGCGCTTCCGCTGGGCCCCGAAGTAGCACTATTTCCATTCCCACTCAACTGCCCACTGCCTCCAGGAACTAAACTACTGGGACTGGGAAGGCCCACTTTGCTGACATTATCACAGCTAACTGAGCGACTCAGGCCAGTCTTGCCTAAGGTTAGAGGTGGAAGTGGTTTTAATGGTACAGTGGGGGAAGAGCAGTTACCAGAGCCCATTTTGGAACCGATTCCACCTTTGGATGATGTTGCCAGACTAGTCAAACCCACAGGCTTCTGGGTAGCTGATGAAGCAGCAGGTTTTCCGCTGTTGTTTTGTGCTGTTGAATTCAATTTTGCTGTTGATGGCCCAGCCGAAGATGTTTTGGCTGCAAAAGCTGCCCATCCAGTTAGGCCACTAGTTACTGAAGAGGACACGTTGTTACCAGAAGAATTTCCTGATATAACCGTGGGTGGCTTAAAAAAAAAAAAAGAAGAGGATAAATATTACATTAGAGCCAAGTATAATCCAAACCTGTATAATATCTTTGAATGCAAACATTTAGCTGTGTATAAAAAGCGATGATGTGGCCAATCTGGACAATTCAATAAAATTAGGATCCTATGAAGCTGGAAAAGCACATGGGAGTTTCTGTAGTCAGGGAGGACACCACACAGATTGCAGTTGCTGAATGCCACACTGTTCCAATGACTTCAAAGAAAATACATGAAATTCTTTTGGGGAACTGCCTTTAGATACAATCACAAACCACCACAAGTATTACCTTGCCCATAACATATCCAAATGGAATCTACTTTTAATGGATAAAACTGTTTGCACCCAAGATATTCAGGAAAAAAAAAAAAAAACTAAGTCAAAGATTCAATCCATAGCTATTTCCAGTGAATGTGTTAAAGGAAACATCTATATTCAAGTTCTGAAGCCACTTAAAATAACCAAGTTGCCATAAACATTTGTGATTGAACTACAAGGCAAACACAGATGTTTAAACTCTAGAGTATTACAAAGAGCTCAGATGCACTTTCTCAATGTGTGTTTCCATGGAAACTACAGCAACAGAGCCCCACTGTCACATAGACTGACAGCTGCCTCTTGGGCTGCACTGTGGCATTGTGGGGCCGTCTGCATGCTCTTAGCTCTTGTAAGGCTGGAACATTTCAGTCTCTGATCAACTTCACACACTGTCTACCTTCATATTGAGAGGGTCTCAAAAATCACCCAGAGGTGAAGTCAGACAATGAACACTCTGTGTTAAAATGGTAATATACAATATATAAAGATGGTAATATAATACTTAGACTACCTATTTATGTATTTAATAGCTTTGAACACCTATGAAAATGGTTAGCAAAACATTATTAGTTCTTACAAGATCGCCTTCAACGTTGTCTGGATAGGAGCAGTGTTTACCACTGGAAAAGTAATAAAGTAAGATGCTAGGGGCCTTTATTTGATAATAGAAGTTAAAATATTTGTCCATGTGTTCTGAAAAAACACATTTTTATAATAGCACCATATAATTATCTCATGATGACCTGATTGGGAAAAATATAAATTCCTGCGACACACACTGCTGGAGACAGAAAAAGAAAGCAAAAGGACACAATGTGGCACATTTTAAATTTTCTGATTTCAAAGATCCATTTTTTTTTCTCCTTTCGTTTCTATCAAACATGAAACCTCCTGCCAAAGGGCTATGTCAAACCTCACCAAAGAAAAGTTATTTGAAGCAACTAAAAAGACCAACGCTCCATGAAAGATAAACAAGAAAGAAGGCCTGTGTGTTGAGCGTCTGATTTTAATGACTGCTGTGGCTTGTGTTGATACGTAGAGTGACAGATGGCTTAGGACACAACAGTGTGCAAGACGTGAGACAGCATAGACTTGCGAACCTAATAATGTCTCACATTTCAATGCAGACAGCCGATTTCTGATACAAAGGCTCCCTTTTGAGCCAATTCCTGGTGACAGCCTTCACTTTCAACATCAGTTACTCAAATTATAAAGTTTCTCATCAAACTCCTACCAGGTGACCACCCTTCAGTCAGCCAGACTGAGATTAAAGTAGACGGAGAGGAACATACTTTACCTTAACTTCTGTTCTCTTGAATGCTAGGAAGGCTGTCTCTTGTTTAAGTTTGGTGTCTGCTTTCTTCACTAACGGATCCTTGACAGTTGGAGCGACAGACACAACAGTGGGAGCTGGCTTCTGTGGTGGCTTCTGAGTTTTCTGAGCCTACAAAAATCAGAGGAAACAAATTATATACAAAATCTTCATTGAGTAACAAAAATTAAAAATTTATTAAAGAACTACAGTTACTAAATGGTAGCAATATTTCTTAAAAAGGTATCATGGTGATACTAAAGTAGAGACTACAGAGAAACAGTTATCAACATTAAACAGTTTTACAGATCTCCTTAGTTTCTGAATAGTAATGATATTATCAATCTTGCAAATTAGAGTTAAATACTTTTTTAACAAGAGAACCCTCCTGTTTTCCATAAAGGAAAATCACAAACTAAGGTACAACTCCCCTTTGTTATCCATGCAGAGCTGGTTCCAGAACCTCTGACGAATACCAAAATCTGTGGATGTTCAAGTTCCTTAGATAAACTAAAGTTCCTTAGGCATCTGGGCCTAGTGATGCCTGTCTGTAATCTCAGTGCTCAGGAAGGAGGCTGATGCGAAGACTAAAAGTTTGGGGCATCCTGGGCTATAAAACAAGTTCAAGGCCAGCCTGATTTATACATAAAGGCTTTGTCCTTAAAACTTATGGGTTGACCAGGCGTGGTGAAACATGCCTTTAATCCTAGAACGTTGGGAGCTTGAGGCCAGCCAGAAATATACATACAGAGATCTTGTTTCAAAAAACAAGCACGCAAACAAACAAAAACAAAACGTCCCATGGGTTGGAGGCTCATTGAATAAAGAAGCCTGGTGTCCTGAGTTCAATCCCTGAAACCCATGTAAACATCAAGGGAAAAAAAACCCACTTCTACAAAGTTGTTTTCCTCTCTCTCACCAAGTTGTTTCCCTCTCTCTCACCAAAAATACCCCTCCAAAAAGTTGTTTTCTCTCTCTCTCTCTCTCTCTCTCTCTCTCTCTCTCATACACACACACACACACACACACACACCTACACCCCAAAACAAAATACCCCTAATGATTGGGAGATACAACTTAGCTACAAAACACACTTGTCTAGTCTAGGCAAGGCCCTGTGGTTCCACGAGGAGCATTAAGAGAAAAATTACTGTATTTATAGATGACCTATTGAAGACTTCTGTAGACAGTAACTCATCTCTAGGATACAAAATACAAATGTCATGCAAACAGCTGCTATATATTGAATTGCTTTAGGAATAATAGCAGGGGAAACAAGCCTGTATATGTTTTGTACTGATGCCTTCATGCCCCTACTTCACCAAAAAGTGTTTTCAGTCCAGTGTGGGCGGAGTGCATAGATGCTGAGTTCATGGAAACTGGGGGACACTCATTGATGCATCCAACCAGCATCACTCAGTATGCAGTGCACTCTATTATTTCAGTTAACCAAAGAATTACTTTCTTTTTAGGGTTCAGGTGTAACTTTTTAAGTTACTAAAAGGGAGTTAAGAACAACTCAGGTAGTTTACATGGTTTTAAACACTGAACGAGAAGGGAAGAATTATCATGAATAATTAATAAACCTTTGAGGTTTTTCATACTAGTGGAATTAAATCCTTGGGAATAGTGTATACGTTTCCATGTTATCTAAGAAGAATTTTATTTATTTTCCTTAAGCATTTTCAGTTTTGTTTTGACTAGTAACTGACTTTAAGACAAAGCATGTTATTAAATTTTCTCATACATTTTAATCATTTTTTAGATTCTTAGTGTTTAGTGTATAAACAATCCTAGCTATATAAGCAATATGGAACAAGGACTGAAACCGTTTTTAGTATCAAAGAGAACAAGGGTTGAAGCCCTGCTCATTACCTCTCCAGCTGTGTTACTGCAAGAGGGACATAAATGCCTAAGAGCCTCATTTCTTTCACCTGCAAATGGTGGCAGCACCATCTGTTCCAAAGGTGTGTTTATGAGGATGAATTGTGAGGATGTAAGAGTTTAGCCTAAGATCTCATAATGTTAAGTGCTGATAATAGTAGTTACTATTAACTAGCATATGAAAGGATCTGGCTTCGATCCCCAGTGCCTCCATCAAAATAAAATAAAATGTAATTACCATGCTGGTTATTGTCAATTAGACACAACCTGGAGTCACCTGGGAAAGGGAACTTCTGAGAAATACCCGGATCAGAATAGCCTGTGGTGGAGTCTGGTGAATCATCTTGATGACTGACTGATAGGGCAGGGCCCACCCCTGGGCCCATCTCCAACAAGGAGGGCCTGGGTTGTATAAGAAAGTTAGTAGCACATGAACTGGAAAGGAAGCACGTAGGCAGCATTCCTTTGTGCATGGTGAAGCAGGAAAATATGACTTAAAAGGCAGACATGGGGTGAAAACAGAGAGACCATATACATGCTTTTACGTGACATGCACCTCATACACACACACACACACATACACACACTACAACTTTATTTTAGAAGTAACTGAAGGCCACTGGGACATATAAATAAAGTGAAGTATCTATTCTATATGAATAAATCATCCAAGCACTGTAATGAACAGAACAGACTGAAGGGAAATACGGAGGCCTCTCAGAAGGCTACTGAACTAGATACGTAACGAGAGAATGTAGACGAGGGTGGTGAGAGTGAAGGGAGCAGACGTGAAGGGCATATGACGTGAACACACCTAAGCTTAGCAAACAAAGGTGTAAATCCATACAAACAGTATATATGCAACGAACACTTGAAAGTTTATTTATTCTTTTCAGTATGCTAAATGTCCTAATTTACATTTTACAATCATATACCGACAAAGACCATGAGATGCTGGCTGAAATGTAAAGTAGGATTCTTACCATTCTCTTCATTTGTCTGGTGCACCGGGCACAGTACCACACCAGGCGAGGGTCATTCACTTCTTTGTCTGTCACTTGGGGTTTATGGCAATCCTGGTGGTAGAGGTTATGGCACTCCTGACATTCTACTAGCTGATTTCCAGATGCCACTGTCATTTGTCTACGAAAAACATTGCATTAAATACTTCAACATACAATTTAAAGTTATTTCCACCTTGTTCTGGTAAAGTTTGTTATGTTAAAGGAAAAGAATCCCAGAAAAATAATCATTTAAATCATTAATGAGAAAGATAACATTAATATGAAGCTTACATAAGACCTTCATTTGTGATAGTTATGCTTAGTCAATAATTATAGCATTTCAATTCAGCTTAGCTATATTTATAGCAACTTATCATTGCAATCTGTTTCTATTTCTCAGCAGGCACTAGACTCTTCCTAGAGCACTGGCAGCACTTGCCTGGCATCCCTATAAAAATCCCTTGGTTAATAGCTACATGTTGTTGGTCTTCATCACTAATAAGTTGGCTACACTGGGTGTGAAGGCACACGTGTGGCTGAGAAGAGGGCATCACTGTGAGTGCAAGACTAGCAAGGACTATAGAGCGTGTTCCAGGTCAGCCTGGGCTACAGTGATAAAAACTGTCTCAGAAAACTTGTTTGAAGAAAAACAACAGAAAACAAACGTTACCTAAAGATGAGAACCTACTCTAGTTATGTGTAATCTGGTGCACACAGGCTGTTTGGAATATATCAGATCAATGTATATAAATCTGAACAGAATGTAGTAGCAGGTGCATCAAAAAAGGATCCATCGCAAAAGTACAAGAAAGCAATCACCACAGGCTTAGTGTATTTTATGAAGTGTCCTGACAAAAGATAACACGGCCACTATGTCTCTCCCTGTTAGGACTTTCACAAATTCATTTACAGGATGCTAATTTTCATAGTAGATTAGGCGGGAAGGAGTCAATACATATGGAAACAAATGATTTTACTCAGAAGCACATCAACTTATTTTCTGTAAGGCTCACAAAAGCTTATATTTTCTTAGTTCCAATTTACTAGAAGTTAACATTTTTAATAGAACAGCCACAAAAAGAATCTTGTTTACTGCTATGTAATAAAAGCAATAAGTTGAACATTAGTCCTTGACATGAATGTCAGACAGGGTTTCTGTGTGGCTTTGGAGCCTGTCCTGGAACTAGCTCTTGTAGACCAGGCTGGCCTCGAACTCACAGAGATCTGCCTGCCTCTGCCTCCCGAGTGCTGGGATTAAAGGCGTGCGTCACCACTGTCTGGCAAAAATTTAGTTATTTCTGCAAAAACCAATCCAAACCAATGTATCTTCTACTAAGCAGAAAATAATTCTAATAGAAAATAGTTGATCTTCTCTTAAATTATCTGCTTCTGTAATTATGCATTCAAGATTAAAATGTAATTCAGGACAACATACATTCATTTCTACTGTTCTCAGATAATGATGTAAGGGTGTTTAAAGAAACGACAGGTGCCAGTTTGTTTTTTAAGTGTCATCAGCAATTCAGAAAGAAAGAAAAGGCAACGAAGATGGTTTCAAAAGAAAGATGGAGCTGAGGTTCCTGGCCAATTGTCCCTCACTTAAAAGGATGCCTAGTCACTTCCTCTAGAATGTAAGAATGCAGACAGGTTACTACAACATAACAGGCTGAAGAAGCTGTGGTCTGACAAATTTGAGTGTATTAAAGTGCTCTGGTCTACTTACCTGTTCTTCGTCCCGAACAATAAAAACAAAGCAGAAAAGTTCTAACAAATTCTATGATTTTGGGGGTTGGGAGGGCAGAATAAACAGAGTAGGAGGATATTGTTTGCCTCTTCTAAGAAAACACGACATCCTGGGCTGGGTATATCTTACCTACAAACAACACAGGCCAAGCCCATCTCCATCGCAAAATCATCAGCACTAGTCTCCTCAAAGCTGGAGAGGTCAGCCATAGCTAAATCCTTGCTGGTTTGGACAGTAATGGGAGAAGATCGGGTCTCTGGTTTCTCCAATCTAGGTTTCTTAGGAACATCAACTCCTTCAGTGACATCTTTCATCTATAAAAAGAACCCGATAAACTTAGACAACAATGTGGAGACTAAAAGAGACTTACATAGATCTAATCTACATGGGAAGTTGAAAAAGACAAGATCTCCCGAGTAAATTGGGAGCGTGGGGACCTTGGGGGATTGCTGAAGGGGGGAGGGAGAGGCAGGGAGGGGAGCAGAGAAAGATGTAGAGCTTAATAAATACCCCCCCCAAAAAAAAGAAGAAGAAGAACCCAATGATGAATGATCCTGAAAGTCACATGGCATAAGCTCTAAGTCACAGAGAGGAAAGATGGGCAATATATGACAAAGTCCATCTTATAAACATTTTCACACAGACAGGAGAGCTACACACTTAGATTAGTTGAAAAAACTATAATTTGAGTTGGAGTTGTGGGAGGAGTAGGAGAGGAAAAGGGGGGGTAGAAATGATGTAAATACAGTATTCATGTAAGAAATTCTCAAAAAAAATTGAAAAAAGAATTATGATTACTTTATAATTAGCATGCTAAAAGAAACTAGCCAGATATAAATAAATCAGAATAGTCTAATAAATATCTACATTCTGCTTTGTATTATACATACTAGAGAACTCTGGAAATTCAATGGATATACTACCTTTTCTCTTTCATTCAAGATGTTTGGACTTGCAGAAAACAGTACTACTAATATTGCTATGTAAAACAACAATGACAACAACAAAATAACCAAAAACTTAAGGGTTGGAATATGTCTCACTGAATAAGCTTTCTGAGCAAGCTTGAGGGACCAGAGTCTGGCCCTTGAACCCAAGTAAGAGCAGGCACGGAGGTAGACTGCAACCCCAGCACTTGGTCAGCTTACTCCATTAGCTGGAAGTAGCGAGCTCCAGGGTCAGCAAGACACCCTGCCTTAATAAATAAAGTAGAGTCATTGAGTGGACACCCAGAGTTGACTTTGGGCATCTACACATACATGTACACATGCATACACATAGTCATACACATGAACACACATAGAAATAGGAACATACACTATACATATACATGTGAAAAACCACTTAAGAGCAATATTCAAACTGTATTAAAAAGGTGAATAATGAGCTGTCTTCCTTTCCACACTAAATGCATTGCCATATATGCTTCAAAGCTAGTCACAAAAATTAAATTCTGAAAATGCATAGATAATTTAGAAATCCTGAGGTTTATTGGTAAAGGTATGAATTTAGTAAGATAATTTTGGATAGTAATTTGGCTATTTATAGCGATGATGAATATATAAGTACCCACATCCACTTACAGCTTATAAAAATTATTAACACGGTCACAGAAATGACCATTCATCTCTGTGATTAAGAAGCTCACTGAAGTTGTATTATAACAAAGAAAAAGGGGAACTCTCCTAAATTTCCTAACTGATAAATTTCTTTATTCACAGAAAGAATGCTAATGGCAGCTAGAAAAACAAATACCAAGACGAACACATATATTTCAAAAACCACACTGGCCACAGAGACGGCTCTGGGTAAATGTGCTCACTACCAAACTTGTGACCTGAGTTTGCTTTCCAAGACACACTCGTGGGAAAGCCAGAACTGACTCCCTCACACACGCCTCACACTCCTGCAAATAAATGAATGTAATAAAAACTTAAAAAATGAAGCATCACTAAGTTAAGAAAAAGTAACTCAATGACAACACAAACAGTGTAATAGCATCTGTGCAAGAATAAAAGCACTGTTCACGCATATCTATTATTTAGGAATAGGATGACAATATATGGGACAATGTGCCCCACCTGAGGGCAAGGGCTACTGAACATAGTTTTATGCATTTTTTGTTAGCTGATAACTTTAATGACCATTTACAAAAATACCCAAAATATACAATCAAGAAATACCGGTAGCCTTCTTGAGATGCTTGCCATCAAGTCACAGAGTTCAAGGTTCATCACACCAATTCTGTCAGTTTTACTTCTAACAACTACTGTTGCCAGAGTTACGATTAAAGTCTGCATTATTTTCCCGAGGTATAAAGGCTGGACAACAGCCATCTCAAGTAAATGGACAAATAAATGTTCCTAGATTTTACTAATTTTTTTTGAAGTTCAACCTCTCCAGCTAGCAAACCATATTTACAGAGTGATCATCATGTAACTATACCCGCTGCTACAAAATGTAGACACCGGCGTTCTTTCTTTCTTTCTTTCTTTCTTTCTTTCTTTCTTTTAATTCATTTATTTATTAAAGATTTCTGTCTCTTCCCCGCCACCGCCTCCCATTTCCCTCCCCCTCCCCCAATTAAGTCCCCCCCCCCAGCCCGAAAAGCAATCAGGGTTCCCTGTCCTGTGGGAAGTCCAAGGAACCCCCACCTCCATCCAGGTCTAGTAAGTTGAGCATCCAAACTGCCTAGGCTCCCACAAAGCCAGTGCGTGCAGTAGGATCAGAAACCCATTGCCATTGTTCTTGAGCTCTCAGTAGTCCTCATTGTCTGCTATGTTCAATGGTTTGCCCTTTCATGAGCCAAGCCAAAACCAATCCTTACTTTATCAGCAGGTCTCTTCTCAGCGTCTTTCTTTATCTTTTCAGTTGTGAGGGTTTTGCCATTACTACTGCCGGAAGGGAGACTCGATGATGTTTTGGGCTCTTGTTTGATAGAAATAGATTTTGTGCTTGAAATTTTGGGTGGTTCCACATCCTAAAGGGTAAAATAAAAAATAAGAGACCCTCATTTTATTCACAACAGAAGGGCTGAGGTTATTGTTCGGTGGTAGGGCACCTGCATAGCATGAACAAGGTCCTAGGTTCAATTCCCAGTGCTAAAAGAGAAACAAACACAAAAAGTAATAATCTAAACAATTTTCAGTTAAAAATTAACTGCCACATCATAGTCAATGAAAAATTCTTCTCTACCATGGCCTTACTAAAAACTAATGGATGCACAGCCAGCACCTATCTGTTGTTTTGACAATGTGCATGTATGTTCATGAGCTAACTACTGCAGCCACACGCCATTATCCCCCAGACCCTCCTGTGGGTCTCTGTAGCCACCCTCTTGCTAGAACGCTCCGAGCAGTAAATCTGGGTTGTCGGCATAACTCAAGCTAGTCATATATTTCTATCTCCCCTCTTAGCTGGGCAGCTGTGTTCCCCACACCCTGACTTGAGGTTTCAGAACTATAACAGTAGAAGACTTCTTACAGAGAGCCCATATGTGCTAGGTGGAAACTACTCAGGCTAATTTACTTATTTTTCAGTAATTTCTACAATTCTGCAAGATATGTTCTTAGTCTCCTCATTTTGCCAAGCTTGGGTGAAATAAATTTATTAGGCAACTCAGTTCCCTTATTGTAAAGTGAGGAACATAGGCGATACTACTTTCAAGGAATCATTATTAGAACAAAAGTTCACAAACCACTTAGAAAAGGGCCTACTTAAAGACACCGTAAAGTTTCAAGGTACGTAAACGGATATCAAACAACTACAAGAGGCAAACTGGATTTTGTCACATAGAGCTGCCATCTATAATGGCGCCACATATTTTTAACATCTATTACCTTTATCTTTACCCTTATTATCTATATTTATTTCACTTTGTTGAAAAATCCCTGTGTTATTTATATTTTTATCCTTAAAACATTAGAGAGTGATTAGAAATAAGTTTGGACACCATTAACACATTAAAAAATAATGATAAAGAATTGGAGACTAAATTGCAAACAAGTGGTTTTTTACATACCAAGGAGCATACCTTGCAGACTAGTGGTTCTCAGCCTTCCTAATGCTTTAATACAGTCCAGCACATTGCGGTGACCCCCAACCATACAATTACTCTCAGTGCTACTTCTTAACTACAATTTTGCTGCTGTTAAGAACAGTAATGTAAATATCTGTGATCTCCGATGGTCTTAGGCAACCCCTCTGAAAGGATCAGTCACTCTCAAAGGGGTTGCAACTCTCAGGTAAAGAAGGACCGCTCTAGTCCAAACTAACAATTCTGTGTGGCTCTTTGAAAGCTTGAGGAAAGAAAACAAGATTAAGAGCAATTTCTATGGCAGAAAGTCTTTCAAGAGAATATACACGCTATCACTGGACCACTATGTGCACCTCAACTCTTTCCAAGATTTGTATTCGGGTAGATACCTTTTGAGTTGGACGATAACTTGAATCAATGCCCCGAGCCAAAGACTCATCAAGCAGCGCTTTTAGTTTTTCCGCAGAATCTTTACTCTTTGAGTGTAAGAATCCTAGTGCTTTCAGAAAAATGGGATCAAGTTCCAAGTTCACAGTAGCAGCCATTGCAAACACCTGAAGAAAAAGAGGAGTAATTTAGACAGTGCACAATTATATATCCTTACTTTTACCTTTTTTTCTTGCTTTTAGTATTTTAAAACATCTGAAAGGTTATTAGAGACAAAGTAATGGCTAACATTATCTGGTTTCCCTCTCCCCTCTGGAACAACGGATGTTACCAGCTTCAATGTATCTACACTCACCACCACCATATATTTGAGACAGAGTCTCCCTATATGCTCCAGCAGGAGAATTTGAGACAGTCTCCCTAAATGCTCCAGCTGGACAATTTGTGATCCTCCTACCTCCACCTCCTCACAGGTGAATTTGGAGGCATGTGCCACCACACCTGATAATGGCAAAGGCTTTTCTGTTTTTGTTTGTTTGTTTGGTTGGTTTTTTGAGACAGAGTTTCTCTGTGTTAACAGTCCTAGCTGTCCTGGAACTAGCTCTGTAGACCAGGCTGGCCTCAAAATAACAGAGATCTGCCTGCCTCTGCCCCCCGAGTGCTGGGATTACAGGAGTGCGCCACCATTGCCCGGCATGGCAGTTTTAATGCAGACAGACCTTTAATTACAGAGCATCCTCCTGGTTACCTCTAACAACGTATCTATAACTTATGGCACACAAACTTTTCTGCTTTCAGGTCAAGTTGACGGCACATCAAAGTGTAGCTTTTCAAGTCTTATTATTACCACAAAAGTTGGGATTTGGTGTTCATGGACGAGACAAGGATGTCACAGGAAGACAATGGCTAACGGGTCCATGATAGAAGTCACTGCTGTAGCTTTTAAAACTGTTTCTTGTTTTGTTTCTGGGCAGTTTTTCATTCTCCTCTGTCCTCTGCTATTTTTAATATCTCAGAAAGCACATTAGTGGCAATCTTATTATATGACATTTAGATGGTGGGATCTCTTGCATTAAGCTATTTCTCAAAAGCAGGTCTCTGAGTGCTGATCCTTACTACTGCATGCATCCCTCAGGTTTGTAAATGCTTGCTGTCCTAAGTAGCTTAAACAACAAGTAGCTGAGGCCACACATCAAAGGTCTGCAAAATTCTCAACAGTCAAGTTTTGTTTTCAGTTAATACCAATGTTATCAAGTGGCTCTACTTCTGGCTGTCATTTTCTCCAAACACCTTTCAGGCAAGGAATTATTAAAAATGTACTCTTGGTGTCCAATCCTTTGATCAATATACTAAGGTTTTAAATCCTCTTCTATCCTTAGGTTTAGTGGCATAGTAATACAACACAGGTACAAGGCTACAGTTAAAGATCTGTCGGCAATTCCACAGTAATCTCCCATTTTCAGGGGCTTGGAATACCATTAAAATTTGCTGTAGGTTGAATCTTGGCATATGAAAGCACCGGTTGGAAATAGATTTCATTTATTTCTCCTCCTATTTTTCTCCTCATACCTTGTGAAGTTTGACAGGACACAGAGAAATGGACACACACATACACACCAGGTTCTTTATAAGTTCCTAAAAATCTATTATCTATTTGATAACCAAAAATAAGTGCTAACTCTATGCTCAACTAAAATATCATCTGTCTGAATGACCTCAGTAATGGAGTTTGAAGGCTAGTACCAGGATGAAAAAGAAACCAGACCTCAAATAGTCATATTAGTAAGAATTTAACAAAATAGAATAGGCTCTGTTGCTGCTTTAATTTATATTACAGGTATCATCTCCCAAGAATGACAGGTTCAGGGGCATTATTTTAAATACGAGGCTGAGCATCGTATTCATTAATACTGAGGAAAATAATGTAAAATTTTCTATGATTAGAGAAGTAAACCCATTGTTCCAGATTCTACAAGATAAACACAGTCTAGTCTTTCTATGACCTGATTTATATAACTACAAGCATACTAATTTATTTAACCCAGGATAGTCTGCTTTACAGGATACTAAGCAAAGAGCTGATACCTAGAGAAATCCTTATATGAGAGAAGCACTACTTTCTTTTCTGAAAAATGGAAGCAAAGTATTGCTATGTCGGTTCTCACAAATGAAATGCCTATAGATTAGGTGACCTATGGTGTAAGATTACAGAAACTGTCAGTATCAATAGTCTAATGGAAACCTTGTAGTCAGTTCCTTTTATAACAGACCTGGCATGCTCTGCACCCCTGCCATAAATCACTGATGTATCTTTCAAACTCAGTGGTGCACATGATGGAATGCGGGGTGTGTGTGTGTGTGTGTGTGTGTGTGTGTGTGCAGGTATGTTCAATTTTTAAGATCATGGAATAATCTAGCAACTTCTAATTTCTCTTCTCCTTTTCTCATGGCTTATTTAAAGTACAAATCATTCTGCAAATCCATCCAGGGTTTTCACTCAGCCCAGCCCTTTGCCCTTCCCAAGCTAACGTTATTATCAGCCCCCACTCATTAATAATACATCTCCCTATATTTCTACTTTTTCCTCAAGCACTTTGTCTTTACTATTCTCACTAACGACATCATCTTGTGAGAGCCTCCTACCAGGCAGTGCTCATTAACTTGTCCCATCGGAAAGGCTACAAAGGTATTTATAGGGAGCCTCTTCCGCACTGCTGATTTTAGAAAAACAAATTCATGACTCCATTTGTCAACCTCTCACTTGCATCTCCCCTCTTAAGTGTAGACATGAGCGCACACTCTTCCTTCTCTCTCCCCAGCACTACCTTTAACACACATTTTGATCTTATAAAACATTTAGCAAACAACTCTATTTAGCTCTTTAACGGCAAGAGCTTCACCCCCGGCCAGTGAACTGTAAGGTCTTCCACAGCTACTCTCTTTGACTACAATCTTAGTTAATTCCCTCCCCTCCTTTCTTCATTCCCACGTCACATTCTCTGAGTTTACAGTGGCTCCATTTGTCCCCTGTGCTGCTTCTTCACTGACACTCTCTTGTTCCAACTTCTTCCTCAAACCAAACAGAAGCAGTCGGTGGCATAAAATAAGTTATGTGCATGTAAATGCAGAACAGGAAGGAAGATGAAAGAATACGTTAGGTGTGAGTTTATTTTAAAATCCTAAGTGTTGTTTAAAACAAAGAAATGTAAGAAAATTAATATTTATTACTTCAAAACTATCAATGACCTAGTGAAGTGGTAGTGATGATGTTGGTGTGAGTGAATGATTAGGTCACACTAGCAATTTTCTGTCGCAAATATAAGTCACACTAGACTTCCATTGCTGTTCAATGGTCTTCTCTCACCCCCATCTCTTACCTTCGCTCATGGGGAGCATGCTATTTCTTTCCTGTTCAGCTTCTACTCTAGTACAAGGCTTTCACTGACTCCCTTCTATTACTATTGATTAGTGTTGCAATCCATACAACAGGGCCTTCTACCCATAATTCTATGAAGATAACCTTACCACGGTTAATTTAGTCATACAGAAATCAAAAGTATACTATTTTCTCTTCTACACATTTCTCAGTTCGTTGTAGATTTCTCCTGCATGGGTTAAAGAGGAGATACTCAGGGCTATTCTGGGTGTCTTTTGAGTGCACGACACCCTCTTTCGAATCTGTCTTTGAGATCAACAGCACAGCTACACAGGCATGCTCTGCAAACATGTTAGAAGTGCAAACTCTTGGCTTCCACTTCCTAACTCACAGAAGAAAAAACTCCAGGATGAAGCCTGCTAATCTGCATCAAACCTCCTGGGCAACCCAATTTATTTTGCAATTTGAGAACCGCTGTTCCAGAAAATCTGCTTTTTGCCAGAGATCATAAACTTCTCTTTCAAGTCCATGGTTCTCCAGGTCCACCTCTTTCCACAGAGTTAACAGCAAGGTTAGCCTGGCTGTCTTCCTGAGGCATCCTGCTGAGCATGACCCAGCGGAGTCACCTCCACCTTTACTTCTCCTAGCCAGTTTGAAGTGCAGCTTTCCCTTTAGAAGTTACCTTCTGTCTCTGGCTACGATCACTTGATGGGAGTCATATCTGCTTTTGGTTTTTGTTTACTTGTTTTCTTTGTTCACTTTTGTTTTGAAACAGGGTTACTCTGTATAGCAGTCCTGGTTATCCTAGAACTAGTTCTGTAGACCAGCCTGGACTCTGTCTCACAGAGATCAGCCTGCCTCTGCCTCCTCAGTGCTGGGATTAAGAGAGTGCACCACCACTGCCCAGCAACACAGCAACATTCCTTATTTTAAGACCAAGTAAATACAGTAAAGGTACCTTGTATTTTATAAAATTTTCTTGGCATTGTTATATTTCACTTTTAATTTTTTTCTCTTTCTATCCTTTCCTTGGCTCATCTCACTCCTGTTCTTCCTATTATGGCCCCAACTATCTGTCCTTGCTTCCCTGCTTTTGATTTGCTACCAATTTGTTCTTCAGCAATTATACACATTTTGTTTTCAACTAATATCTCTAGGCAGATGATTCCATATGTTATTTTTTTCTGATTTTCTTAAGCCTGGATCCCTTGTTTCCCTCATTTCTGTGCTCCTCTTTAAACAACGGCTAGACTATCATTTGGTTAACTCATCAGAGCAAAGTCTAGTGTTCTCTTTAACTCTACACAATTCTAATCACTTCAGCCAACAACATTAAGGAAATTCAACTGTCTTTTCCTCCCAAGAAAATCAAACCTCAAAAAGCAAAACAATCATCTGTTTTATGCGAAGGAGTATGTAAGGGTTCTGATCTGAAACATTCACTTTCTTTTTCTTTTAACATTCACTTTCATTCATCTGCCTTTAATTCCTCAATCTTAGTAGCACATAGCTTCTTATGCAGGTGTGTTCATGTTCGTAGGTGGGGGCAGTGGTAGGGGATGCGGTTATTTCCCCCTAGCAATTAGAATTTAACAGGTGCTTTTAAATATTTATTGGATGAACTAGATTTCTGCTAACACGTCATTTTTCAAGGTTCTGTGAGGGTCCCAAATAAAATTAAACATCCCTAGCAAAATCTATGCTTTCCTTTGGGTCTCTTTCATCCTGCCTGTTAGTTTCAAAGTTCAAAGTTGATCACTTGCTAGTGCATGAGTTAAAAAAAAACAACAACTGACTATTCATGAGGATGCAATACTAGGATTACCATCTCATTACAACACTGAAAACCCATCCATTCCTGTCTCTGCAAGATTTTGCAATTCTTTCCAATAAACTTTTTTTTTTAAGATGCTGCCCTTTTTCATCCTTCCCTTGAGTACCTGGCCCTAAGATACTTCTGGAAACTTAGAGCAGGAGATTAAAAACCCCAATTCCAAAACAAACCAAGCGCTAAAGAATCTGTAAAGAGACAGAAGACACTTAGAAATGAAACTCCTTTGAAGGAATCCAAACAGAGGGGCGGCCTCGTATAAGGAAGAGTTCTTGACAAGGGAACCAGAAAATGAGAAGTAAACCGGGAGCTGCAGAGAGGTCTCCGGAACCTTCGACAAAGGTTTGAGAGTTCCACGGACCCAGTCCCCAGGGGCCGCGTCCTCAGTGCACAGCACTCTGAGAGCACAGTCCTTCCAATAGGGGGAGCGGTTAGGCTGCCGCACGCAACTGCCCGCAAATTAAGAGGTTTACCCCCCCAGCAGGGAGGAGCCCACACCCGGCGGAGCTCCGCTGCGGGCGCCCCTCGCGGGCTCTCGAGCGTCCCCGCGGCACCAGGACGCGGGGGGAACCCTCGTCACAACTCACCGCTCCGCCCCGCCACTCTGTCCGTGCTCGGCAGCTCTTTTCGAACCCGTCCCCGCCCTAACCGGCATCCGAAGCGAGAAACAAAGGTTCCCGCAACCCGGTCGGGAGGGGAACGTTTCCTGGGGAGACAGCAGGAAGTGACGCGCCACCTCTTCCGGTCCGCCGGATTATGAATGGCGGTGGGCGGGGGGCTTTCCAGACACATTTGCTTCTTGGTTATTTCTAGTTTCCCCCACCCCTCGGGGCCTCACTGGAGGCGAGTGCTCCTCAGGCCGCGGCTTCCAGAAGGAGCCTCGGGATCCCGGCTCGAGCTGGGCGGGAAGGCGCGGCGGCCCGCGTCGCCCACACGCTCTCGCGCCCTCCCTGCCTGGCCGCGCCTCTGCGACCAGGTAAAGAGGGCGCTCCGGCTGCGCGGCCCCTCCAGGCCCCGAGGACCGCGCTATCCCTCAGGGGTCGGCGGGGCTGGGGCGAGGTGGGACCCGGGAAAGTCTTCCCAGCCCCGCAGGCTCCGCAGACTGGTAGCGTAGGTGCAGGTGGAGGGCTTCGCGCCGCGCCCCCGAGTGACGCGTGGGCCACTCTGCTGCCAGCCTGTCAACCTCCGGTCGTCCTGCGTGGGTAAAGGAACAGGGCAGCTTCGCGGTGTAGGGGTTTGGGTGGTCGTTTGCAGTTAGGTGCAGGGAAAAGACCCCTTGGAGCACACTTTAACTTTTCCCAAAGAGAAGACTTCCGTTGCAGCCTTTCCTGATTGGTCGCTGTAGTGGATACTGTTTCACAGTTACTCCAACGGATTTGCTGCATCTGGGGACATTGGCTTATACTATCGCCATCAAAGCAAGCGTTTTTCTTCAATTATTAACTTGAGCAGAAAATCTGAGATGAGCTTGCATGAAAATTGCTTTGGCTTAAATAATGAATACTCAAACACATACCGCCCCAACTTTGCTTGGTTGAATTACATGGTCCCTTTCTCTCCTCCCACCCCCGTTATGCCCACCGCAAGATTCCTTGTCACAAATCCTTAAGGTCAAAACGAAAGAAAGAGACTAATGTATCTCTTACCAAATTATTGCTAAAGAATGTGGCGTTTGTCAAGTTATCTTGTGCTTTTCTACAAAAAGGGTGTTTAGAGGAAAGAATACAGAAACTAGCAACAACTGTGATGATTTTAAACATGTAAATATGGTCACTGAAATGCCACGAGAATAAACTGTTATAATACAACAACTGATTTGTTGTCATATTTACAAGACCAAACATTAAGCTATATTAGGGATTTTGATTTGTGGGAGCATACACTACGAAAGTGATTGCCTTCAGTATTCTTCATTACTTGAAATTGTATTTTATTTGCACCTGAAGGCTTCATTTTAAGAGGCCTAACTTCAAACATAAGATTTGAGGTTTGAACATTGTTTTATGTCATTAAAAACATAAGAAAAAAAACCTTTAGTAAGGGACCGAGGAGAGATGGTCTTTCAAGGGAGGGGAGAAAGGATGTAGTGGTGTACAGAAGGAGGGGAAAAGTGGAAAGGATACTTCTATACATTTGTTACTTTAAACAAAGCCAAAAGGAGCTTTGTGGTTGTGGCCCTATGAAGTGTGGTTTTAATCCTATTATTCCTTCTAGCTTTTGTTTCTGCAAGACACAATTTGAAATGAGCACAAACAACAATAAGCCAGCTGGTCCTACTAATAGCAATAATTGGGCAGACATTAGCACATCTGGGACTAACCAGGTGACACTGTAGTTTTCACAGTTACCTGGTATGGGTTGCTTTCATCCTTAAATTCAAAATAACTTACTGAATTCTGCTATGGTCACTTCTTGGGGTTGCAGGAGTTTAAGCTTTGTATCCTAAAATAAGTATTGTTTGCTGAGATAATTCAGTATTTGTTTTTCAGGCTTGCCGACGCTGTCAATCTGTGTTAGCCACAGGTCAGGTTTAGCTGCAAGCTTTATTCATGACTCCATAGCAACGGACACCTCTTTGAATCTCCAGAGAGATTATGTGTTTCTTCCGTAACTAAGATTTCAGTAAGCATTTCACTTCCAAACATTTCTTATTTTATAAAAATTTCTTGCCCTGCTAAGAAAATTGCTAATTTTAATCATGAGCTAATTGCCTCTGAACTATCATCCTACAAGATGAAATGAACTCTAAACCCTTCATCTCTTTTTCTTTTTTCTGTTTTTTGATTTTTAGTTAGAGGTGGTTGGCTATTTATCTGTGAAGGGGCATTTTTAAAAAAAATCTGTATTGTAATAGAGTGCTGTGGGGCTTGTAACAAATAGTGCTGCTTTGTGGGAAGTCTGAAACATAAGTTCTTCAGTCAGTATATTGAACATTCTCTGGTGGAGAAACATTGAACAGGTATCAACATTTCAATATTTGAGAGAAATATGTAAAGTTCATACTTAACTTTGTCAAGCTTTATTCTGTCTAATGCAGTCTCCTAATATGTATATCAACTTAAGAATTTTCCATTTCTATTCCACCATTTTATGACGCCTTGGGTCTAATCCTTAGTGCCAAATTTTCAATGTTTATGGAAAAATACTTTTCAGTTCAACACAGTCCACACATTTCCTGGGAAGAAATTTGAAAATGAAAAGCATCAGTTGAATTTTTTTCATTAAAATTTATGCATTTCAGTAGTGTCACTAGGTAAAGAGTTTGACTAAATTATTAATAAGTAGTAGGGTAGGAGCTGAGGTGTGACTCAGTGGCAGAGTGCTTACCTACCACGTGTGAGGCCCCAGGTTTGATTTGTAGCTGTGCCTAAAGCAAAATAAAGTAGCTAGAATTTACTTAGGGGCTTCCTGTGTGACCATTGTCCGTTACCATAGCAACACTGTAAGGAAGATGTTGCTCCGTCCCTCATTTCATAACTGAGATGAAGGAAAAGTGTATAGCTCCTGAGAGTCAGAGCCAGTGTTTAATCCCAGTGTATTTGTTTAAGAGTCCTGGGAATGACTACAGAGACCAGGCTGGCCTTGAACCCATAGAGATCTGCTGCCTCTGCCTCCTGAGTGCTGGGATTAAAGGTATGAGCCACCATACCTAGCTAATACTTTTAATGAAGAAAATACACAAGACACTAATATCTTGCTGTGTAACATGATTTTTGGTCTGTCATACAGAGCGTAATTTATTATGTAATATTGAGTTGCCAAAGATCTTGACTTGAATTTTGAACACAAAACATTCCAGTTGACTTTTAAAATTCTGACTGATGAAGAAGTATGTTTTTTTTCTTCATTTTCTCTTTCCCCTTTTCCTCACTCCCTGATTCTTTAGACCTTTACACACGAACATAAAATGGGGTGAGGTCTTAAAAAATTTAAAACTTTTTTTTTTGGTAAGATATGATTTTCTCTACATGATCCCGACTATCTTGGGTCTCAGTATGTAGACCAGGCTGGCCTTGAACTCACAGAGGTCTGCTGCCTCTGTCTTAAAGGCATGCTCTACCAATTTTAGCAGTATATTAAATATTTTGTCAATGCTAAGATATATTAAAATGCAAAATATCTAAGTTTATTATCTATGATTTAATACAACCATTTTTAAACATATCCTTGAAGATATTTCTAAGTGATGAGTTATTCCTCGTGCAAATTCCCAATCATGTTGACGTAAGAGATAGATGCATATTCTGTCGGATATGTTCAGCTCCTGAAGTTTGTTTTTGTCTACGGTCACTTCCTTTCAGTGACTACAGTATGGCATATGCTAGGATTGAGAAAGCAAATGACAGGTCTGTGCTTGACAGAAATCTAATAAGGTTCAATGCAAGCTGTGCTCTAGACACCTTGGGGACCCTGAAATTGACTCTTGAGGGTCTGTCTTAAAATTCATCATGTAGCTAGGGAGTTATCAAAGGAGAAAAAGAAGGGAAAGGGAATTTCTTTGATATTTATAAACTTTAAACCAACACTATGCTCTGCTCCTTAAAACAGTACAAGCCAAAACATCCACCAAATTTGTACAGGTTTGTTAAATGTTTAATATTTAACAGTTATACTAGTAAGTAATGAGGAGAAATTGCCCAGGGAGCGTAATTTTTTTAAACTCCACAATTATTAACCAACATTTTGATCTCCAAGGTAGGGGAGAACAAAAGCCACTAATTTTGTAGTAAAGAAAACACTAAGAAATAGATTTTACTTTGCATTTTCTCTTGGACAGCTCATTAATTTTTCCGATTTCACCATGGGAAAGTATTTCTATTTTATTTTGTTGACATTTAACGTTAGTAAGTACTCACAGTGAATCAAATTTATAGCTTATATGTAAAATGCCTTTTTCATGGTTCTTTTATACCTTTCTGCAAATGCACCCCCAGTGCACATGCACACACATTTTTTTTTTTCTCTACTACACCCTCTTCTGGTTAGGTACTTCTAAATATTTTTAAAGAGTGCCATCTAGTGTCCATTTTTGAATTGTGGTTTATGAATTAGAATGTGCTTATATCTGGGCCAGGGATTCAAAAGCCAAGAGTCATGATTGACAGAAGCCTTAACGAAATTTTACCTCCATATACACATCTTTAAACACTAGAGGTGTATATTCGTACATGCATTCCTTCAGCAAATAACTGTTACATACAAATGTTTACCAGGCTCTATTTTACGTATAACAGCTAACAAAGTACTCTTACAGAATAATAGTCTAATAGAAACATAACATGTTGAATAAATAGTGTCTTCTGGTGCTAAGTGCTGTGGAGGAATTAAAGCGTAGAAGGCAAAGTAAAGGGCCTAAGTCGATGGGGGTTTATAATATAAGAAGTAGCTAAAGAACATTTTAGTAAGATGCTGCCTATTATTAAATATCTGGAGCAGAGCTTTGTGTTCTGGAAACACCAAGTATGAAGATCTTGAAGTTGGAGTTTAGACAGTTTGGGAGAATCTTGATTTGCTTTAGTAAGCAATGTAAAAAAAAATGAGACAAACTCAAGAGACATAAAACGATCATCTCACGATCTGTGTTGGGCACTGTAGAAGGTCTGTTATTTTAGCAGGATGGAAAGATACTACAGGATTTGAACTGAGTGGCAGAACTTCATTTTTAACAGAATAAGTTGATGTGAGGGATGGAGAGAGGTGGAGAGAGAGTGAGTCAGAAGCAGTGCAAAGGGTGAGAAATGGTTCTGTATTTATACCCCAGAGATTCAGAAAAGACTGGCTAAGAGAGGGGTGGTAAAAGAGTACTAAGTGCTTCCTATTACAGAGCATCTTAAAGCCATTACTAAAAATAACATATTGAACAAATATGTCACTACAAATGCTTATACAGACTGGGGAAAAGTTTCCTTTCGAAAGCCATTCATCTTTGAAGTAAAAGTTCTTAGATATAAATTCTTACTATTTTTTTTTTTTTTGATTTTTCGAGACAGGGTTTCTCCGTAGCTTTTGGTTCCTGTCCTGGAACTAGCTCTTGTAGACCAGGCTGGCCTCGAACTCACAGAGATCCGCCTGCCTCTGCCTCCCGAGTGCTGGGATTAAAGGCGTGCGCCACCACTGCCCGGCTCTTACTATTTTTTTTGAAAAACACTAATCTTTTAGCTTCTAATTTGTTATATTTGAAGGCCTATAACTTTTGATTTTTGTTA